CTAATCTGGGAGAACCGGGTTTGATTCCCCACTCCTCCTCCACTTGCACCTGCTGATGTGACCTTGGGTCAGTCACAGGCTCTGGCACAGCTGTCCTTGGAAGAGCAGTTTGTGTCAGAGTTCTCTCAGCCCCACCTCCCTCCCAGGGGGTGTCTGTTGTGGGGAAGGGAAGGGAGTTTGTAAGCCGCTCTGAGACTCCCTTGGGTAGTGAAGGGCAGGGTATAAACCCAATCTCCTCCTCCTCCTCTTCTTCTTCTTCCTCCACTTGCACCTGGCTGGATGACCTTGGGCAAGCCATAGTTCTGGCAGAGCTGTTCTTGAAAAAGAACCGATAAAGTCCCAAGCTTTTAGAACGATTTTTTCTCTTTTTATGTCTTTCGACTTTAAAATAACGTTGTCAGAGCTTTCCTGTCAGAGCTTTCTCAGCCCCACCTACCACACAGGGGGTGTCTGTTGTGGGGAGGGGAAGGGAAAGGAATTTGTCAGCCGCTCTGAGACTCCAAGTGAAGGGCAGTAAAATCCAATCCAATCTCTTCTTCTTCTTACAGACGGGAAATCCCATGCGACAACCCGCCTTCTTAAGGTCAGGCTTTTACTGCATGACAGAGTGCTGGACTGGATGGGCCATTGGCCTGATCCAACATTGGCCTCTCTTATGTTCTTAGGGTTCATTTCCATTCCTGGGGATTTGGGGGCAGAGCCTGGGGAGGGTGGAGATTGGGGGCAGGGGAGGGGCTCAGTGGGGGGGGGCGTGATGCCGTTGTGCCCACCCTCTGGAGCTGGCCTCTCCCCTCTGGAGATTAGTTGCAATTGGGGTAGAACTCCAGGTCCGAACTGGAAGCTGGCAACCCTACGGCTTAGCAGCCTTCCTGGAGCACGGCTTCTCCGTGGCATCCAGTGTCTGCGGCAGGAGAGCTCCGTTCGAGTCCCGCAGCACCTCAGAGACCGACAAGGTGTCCAGGTGTTCCCTCTCAGCTGAGTTAGTGTGAGCCAGTGCGTGGTTTTTTAGCCTCCGGCGCACACATTATTGTCCCAGCTCAGGAAGGATGGCTCCAAAGCAAACTGATTTATGCAGTAGCCAGATCTCTTGCTCACAACTTTAAAATGCCAGTAGCCCACAAAGTAGAATTTTTGCTCATGAGACTCCACGGCTTGGAGGGAACATTGGGGGGTATGAGCTTTTGACAAGAGGGGCAGG